TTTCTTCAGTGATGGGTTTATAAAAGCTATTGGTCCTGCTGATGCTATCCAAAGACAGTTTTCTGAAGAAACCTTTGAAGAAAGAATTGACTGCTCTGGGAAATGTATCCTACCAGGTACTTGCCTCTTTTTCACAAAACTCTGAAAGCATCTTTATCAGTTACTCTAAGAACATAAAGAGCAAGAATGGCAGCTTGTTTTAAACAGGGTCTTACGATAGTATGAAAAAATAATAATGGGTCCATGGATTGAGTTTTTCTTCTTGAATGCCTAGTTGCTTTATAAACATGAGTTCATGAGTTCATGTTGAATCCTTGTAACTATTGTGTGAGGTAGAGGTTATTATCTATGTGTTACAGATTAGAAAACTGGAGGTTAGGGGTGAAATATCTTACCCAAGATTGCAGAACAGGTAAAGGAAGAGCTGGATATCAAGTCCACTCGTTTATTCCACTTCTTCCCACTCACATGCTGAAGAGAAATCAGCCATGTTGTGTTCAAGTTCCAGAGTAGTTGGAATAACTTTTTAATCCATTGCATAGAGGAGGCAAGCAGGGCTGTCTCTAATGTTATAAACACTCTAAATTTGTATGAAGACCTAGAGACACTGTAGATAATTTACCCCAGTTCACTTTTAACACAAAAAATCAGTTTATTAACTACCATCTATGTTCTCTCTCTAGTATGGTTTCAGGTGATCACCAGAGAGAAATCTCAAAAACTTTGAGTTTGATGCAAACATAGGGGCTTTATATTTAATTTATTTATTTATGTAAAACTATATATACATTTTAATAAAATTAATTTATATAAAATTTTTATAGTTTAAAAATGTGTATTGACACATCTGACAGAACCTCTATGTTCTGATTTTTGGGGGCCAGGATACAAAGTCAGGGTGAAATGTCATAAGAAAAAGAAGACCATGATAGGAAACAATCTGGATAGGGACTTTGGATTTAGTCCAATCAGAACCATTTATGAGCTGCTTTAAATATTTGATAACAACACACTTTACTAAAATGAACGGGATGAACAAAAGTTCCAAGTGATTGCTTAAATGTTTTAAAGATAGATTCATCTTTCATATTTTTCTTTCTCAAAGTTGCAGCGGGGGTTGAGGGTTGTATTATTGTTCCTTGGTGATACGGTCCTTGGTTTTGCTCAACTAATGATTTGGACAACCTGGTTTAAAATCCTGTTTGCTGAGCATGGACTTACTGAGTAAAGAAGCTGTAGCTCTATATGGTTGAGTTACTTTCTTCCATTAGAACATTCTAGATGAGCCATACAGAGGAAAATCTCCCTTACCCCAAGCTGGATGGCCACTACCATGCTTCCCGAAGAGCAGCATGGTGCACACTGCCTGCTGTCGAAGTGCCTTCCGATTTTAACTCTAAAATGACTTGATTTATTGATTGCAGGTTTGGTGGATGCCCACACACATCCCGTATGGGCTGGTGAAAGAGTCCATGAGTTCGCAATGAAGGTAACTGCATTGAATAACCGCAAATCCAAATAAAGCACAAAGTCTTTTGTTCTAAAAAGTTCATAGGCTGTCCACCTTTGCTACATGTTAAGTCTTTTTAATAAATATTTTTGCTTGGAAAATGGGAAACAAAAGACAACAAAATGTATTTACAGCTGCCCCAAGTCTTTCTATCATGTGTCCAACTGGCAAACACTTGAAGTAGAATAGCATTTGAAAATTTTTAGCCCTGCCATCCTTTTAGAACAAAGGTGAGCAACTCGCCCACTGATTTTTCCTTTCTTTCCCTCCCACCCCCAATCCAAAGCAACAACCAAAAGAACAATTGAAAAAACCCCAAAAAAACGGTTGAAAAATAACAATCAATTGGGGTCAAATGTGGAAAAGTGCTTGACAAAATAATCACAAAAATAAAATGTACAAAGTTATTCTCTTTTTTAATAAAAATGAGACTTATTAAGAATTATAAAAGTCTCTGTTAGTTGAATATTAGCCTTAGTCAATTCCAAAATCCTTGGTTGGAGCCATTTTCACGTTGTTTGGCAGGGGTGGGCGGGTGCAGCTAAATGGAATTATTTCCGAAAAAAAAGGAAAAACTTCTTCAGGTATATTCCTTCTTCAACAAACTAAAGCTGTTTTTAAGATCATTTTTATTAAATCAAGAATTTCAGAGCCAAAGCAGCCTTGGAGATGCATAGTCCTGAGCTATCATGACATACATGGAGAAAGTTGGGTCCAGAGTAGGGAAGGTGTTTACTGAGGATGGCACAGTCAGATGAAGACTCTGGCCAGGAGATCCAGGCCCACATAGTCTGTGTCCCACGCTCTGAAGTACAGAGTAACTGGAGCCCATGAGACCCCAGGAAGAGCCTCTTTATTTGCTTGAGTGACAAAGGTCAGGCTTCCAAATCTGGTGCCCAAATATTGAGACACAAAAATGGCCCTGGGTCTCTTTAGTGGAGATTTGAAAAATTGTAGTGGGGCTCCCTGAACCCTTGTTTTGTTGTCTCAAACCCGCTCGAAGATGTAGAGAGGACTGAGACTTAGCTGGTACACAGTGGGGACAAAGTGGGTTGATAAAATATTGAAATAGTCCTGCAGCAAAGCATTAATTAATTGCTGCTTCCCTGAGATCCCAACTGCCTACACACCACATCTCCTATCTCTGTCTCTCCAGCACCTTCTTGAGAACCTCTCCCCAGCTCCCTTCAATCTGGCTACTGGCAGATGACAGGGCTTTAGGACAATGCATGTCTTTTTTTTTTTTTTTTTAATTTTGGTGCTGGGGATTGAACCCAGGGCCTTGTACCTACAAGGCAAGCATGCTACCAACTGAGCTATATTCCCACCCCAATATGTGTCCTTTCTGATCTGGTCAGTTAGTGCTTGTGCCCTATTACTGCTGTTTGTTTTTTCTTCTTAACTTTTATTTGCAAAAGTGTGACTAACAATAAGTATTTTAAAAATTGTATTTATGCACACACACATAACATAGACAACATAAATTGGCTTTTCTATTGAAATTTTCAAGTTATAAATTTATTTTGTAAGATGAGGAATTATGGTAAAAATACTAGCAACATCCATAGGTGTTTTTTTTTTCTTTTTAAAATTTATTTACTTGTTCTGATTAGGCATGCACGACAGCAGAATGCATTTCAATTCATTGTACACAAATGGAGCACAACTTTAGATTTCTCTGATTGTACACAATGCAGTGTCCCAACATATGTGTAGTCATACATGTACCTAGGGTAATGATGTCCATCTCATTTCACCATCTTTCCTGCCCCCCTGCATCCTCCCCACCCTCCCTTCCTTTTGCCCAAAGTTCATCCATTTTCCCATGACTCCCCACTCCCCGTTTTGGATCAGCATCCGCTTGTCCGAGAGAACATTTGGAGATTTTGGTTTTTGGGGATTGGCTTACTTCACTTAGCATGATATTCTCCAACTCCATCCATTTACCTGAAAAAGCCATAATTTTACTCTCTTTTAATGCTGATTAATATTCCATTGTGTATATATACCACAGTTTCTTTATCTATTCACCTATTGAAGGGTATCTAGGTTGGTTCCACAGTTTAGCTATTGTGAATTGAGCTGCTACAAACATTGATGCAGCTGCATCACTAATAACATGCTGATTTTAGGTCCTTTGTGTAAAGACTGGAGGAATGGGATAGTTGGGTCAAATGGTGGTTCCATTCCAAGTTTTCTAAGGAATCTCCATTCTGCATTCCAGAGTGTTTGCACCAATTTGCAGTGCCACCAGCAACGTATGAGTGCACCTTTCCCCCCACATCCTCATCAACACTTATCATTGCTTGTATTCTTGATAATTGCCATTCTGTCTGGAGTGAGATGAAATCTTCGGATGAGTTTTGATTTACATTTCTCTAATTGCTAGAGAAGTTGCACATTTTTCAAATGTTTGTTCTTCAATGGTATATCTTCTTCTGAGAAAGTGACTGTTGGGTTCCTTAGCCCAGTTATTGATTGGGTTATAATATCCCCCATGGAGGTAGGTTCTATGCCTTGTCTGCAACCTCCTTTGACCGAGCGGTGTGTTCAGTTGGCAGGAGCTACATACATGGATATTCACCAGGCTGGAGGCGGGATCAACTTCACAGTGGAGCGCACTCGCGAAGCCTCGGAGGAGGAGCTGTTCGGCTCTTTCCAGCAGCGGCTTCAGTGCATGATGAGGGCCGGCACCACGCTGGTGGAGTGCAAGAGTGGATACGGCCTCAACCTGGAGACCGAGCTCAAGATGCTGCGCGTGATCGAGCGTGCCCGGCGAGAGGGGCGCATCGGCATCTCGGCCACTTACTGCGGGGCTCACTCAGTGCCCAAGTAATCTCAGCGGGTGGGATCAGGGTGTAACTCAGGTAGTGGGAATGTAGCAGAGACTGCGTTCCCCAAGGATGGAGGTGCATCAGTACTTTAGCTCTTGCAAGGAGATAAGGCTTTGGAAAGATGTTCTGCTTCTATGACCAGACATTTAGGACAGGTGGTTTGAGGATGGCGCTACATTCAGTTCTATCAGTTTCATCAGTGTTGGAATAACACGAGTCGTTTCAAGCTCTTTTGGTATGCAAAAAGAAATGACCCTTTGTAGTCCTTTGAGACTATAGATGCTAATGTGAATAATTTTATCTGATAAACGAATTCACATAAAGCAGTAAAGTAGCATAAAAGTAGAGGTTAATAGTAAGATCTTATAGAGATCAAACCTTGTAGTCTAAATGACTCAGAGAACTGCCCCCCCCTACCATTAGAAGAATTAAAAAAAAATAACATTAAGTTATAAATATTCCAGGGATCTTTGTTGTAAGTTTTAGCATTTATATTTCTGAAATTGTTAAAACTTTAAACTTCACTGAGATATTTTTACACAGCCTGTCTATGGAAAACAGTAGATTTTTTCCCCCAAAATGAAATAGAAAGTGTATGAGAGTCTGTCCTCCCTGCATACACACAGAAAAAGCCATGTGGTATGGCAAAGTCTCAGACTTTAGAGTGATAAAACTTGAGTTTAAATCTAGCTTATCTGAATGACTTTGAGGATGGGACAGCTTTTTGGAACATGAATTACATGTTTGTACACAGAGCTCATAGCACCCTATTCCTTAGGATTGTCTTGAGAAGTAGAAATTATTTATGTAAGCGCTCATCTCCTCATCATCGACCTCTATCCACCCTCCGAATGGTGTTACTGAGCAAAAGCTTTCTGTGTATCCAATATAGGGCTGAGGTGTTGCAGAAATTCTCTCCATCTGCCAATAACCCTCCGAGTTCTGTGTCTAGATTCCCTGAGGTGCAAATCACAGCTAAATAATATGTCATCAGCAAGAGGTAGAGCTCTGTGTCTGACTGTAAGAGTCCAGTCCTTTCCAAGAAAGAATGACCCCAAATTTTAAAAAAGCATTTCAAGGTGTCTTATTGTCCTCTTTGGCCATGTCTGCTGAGAGTGAGACAGGAAGCCTTAGCAGATGCTTCAGGAAACATTGTGGAGAAAGAGGAAGAAAAAGGCAGGGTGATAACTGGGGCGTAGGTCATGGAACCACAGTTGGGTTTTCAGGGAATCATCCAGGATGTCTTAAGAGGGTCCTTGATGGAAATTCACCTTTGCAGTCAGGTGGCCTTAGTGGCATTCCCAAAGACAGCATGGGTGTTTTAGCATGGGTGAGCAATTTGCGTCTCTGTCTATGAGGTTGGTACATACAGAAACCTCAATACCTCTGCTGTGTTGGCATGGCTCAGCTACAAAGAGTCCTGAGATTTAGCTCTTTTGAGGTTAGAGGTTATTTACCTATACTTCAAATGCCAGATAATTGTTTCTCCATTAAAAAAAATACATATATATGTATATATATATGTATATATATATGTGTGTGTGTATGTATATACACATATATACATATATATGTATTTTGTACAAAAATATATGTACATACAGATACATATATTTGCCCATGGTAATCTCATTTTCTTCCATCAGAGGAAAAAATGCCAAGGAAGCTGCTGATGACATCATCAAGAACCATCTCCCGAAGCTGAAGGCACTTGGCAGAGATGGGGAAATGCGTGTTGACAATATAGACGTGTTCTGTGAGAAGGGCGTCTTTGATCTGGATTCTACCAGAAGGATTCTTCAAAGTGGAAAAGAGATGGGGTTACAGATTAACTTCCATGGGGATGAACTGCACCCAGTGAAGGCTGCTGAGGTATGGCTGACCTTTGGCACATCCTTGTCAATATGCGTTCTTGCCCATTCCTGCCATGGGAAACCTAATCCATCTGTTCAAAGTCGCCTTCTGAAAAGATAGAGAGTGGGGAAATTTGTTTGAACAATGTGCAGATTGGTCTGGTTGGGCCTGGAAAAAACCCTGACCTCTACTGAAAAACTTACTGTTTTTTTTTTTTTCTTCTGCAGATCATTTACTTCTTTTCTTTTGGATGCTGGGGGTTGAACCCAGGACCACACTCACGCTAAGCACATGCCTTACCACTGAGCTACATCCCCAGCCTGGGTGGTACTCGTAGAGAAAGAAGTATCTCTGTGATCTCAGTTATTAAACTCACAACATATTTTTGGTTGGCGCACAAAGCCACACTGGCACAGTACAGTAATTTCACGTGTAGCTTCTAGAATCTTCTTGGGGGCGGCATCTGGATCAACGTTGGTGGAGCCCACCATGAACAGTCACAGGGTGGTTTCAAATCTACCTGTCTTGCCCAGGTTGAGTTATTCATTCTTTCAACCTGTGTGCTGGGCACTGTTCAAGGTGTGACGAATTCAGTAGTGATTAGGACAGTCCCTACAACTGTGAGTCTAGACATCTCTCTTCTGAGCCCTAGAGCTGAAAAACAATTGCCCTGGGTACATAAATACTGCTGCAGACATTCCACCTGCATCTCAAGCACAGCATGGCCAACCAGATGTCTTAATATCACTTCCAGCCTTGTCTTGTGCTTTCTGCCCCAGTGGACAACGCCATCATCCATCTGCTGCCTAAGCATCATTTAGACTCCTCCATCTACCAGTGAATCACCAAAGCCTCCCAATTCTCCTCCTATGTCCATCTCTCTCTCCTTACTGCCTGGTTCAAACCACCTTCAGCTCCCACCTGGATTCCTCAATAACTGTCCTCTTGGCCTCCAATCTAGCATCCACCTTAATCCCTTCCCTTAACCCATTCCCTCAATGCAGTTTAACCTTCCCCTGCATCCTTCCCCTCCATTGCTTAGACCACATAAAGGATGAACGTGGTTCGAATTAGAACAAATTCCAAGCACAGTGTGTGGCTTACCAGGATCTGACCCTTGCTTACCTCTTCACCTCCTTCCTCCTTTCACTCCATCCAGCCTCTCTGTCATGAACCAGCCACAAAAAAATCTACTCTCAATACCCCATGCCTTTGTACATACTGTTCCTTTCATCTGAAGTCCCCTTTCCCTGACTAGTCCTAACTCCCGTGTTTCATCTTAGCTGCTTTTCTGGGACTTCTTCCTAGCCCTCTCTAAGACTAGGTTATGGCCTCTCCCAGTTCTTATCCCACTGGGTTAAAATCGCCTCTGGACTATAGCACCCTGAGCCTTGCACCCGATCCTCGCCCGATCCTGGAGGTCAGCACAGTGCCCAGAGTACAGATGGCCTTTCGTAAATCAATACTTGTTGAAATTTTGTTGAATGAACGCAAACTGGATGGTCACCAAGATACTGCTGGATTAAATCAATAGAAGTCAATACCCATAAGCAGCAAATCGAGTTTAGAAGAGTGAGGGTGAGTCCAAGGTCAAGAAGAAACTTCCCCTGGGGAACATAATCAGTCCCGTGGACCACCACACCCCCCAGAGCCCCATTTCAAAACTTCTTAGGCCAGAGCAAGCTGCCTGAAGAGGGGTCAGCTCTTCCCTGTCCTGGATGTGGCAATACAGCCTCCCAGGGCCACATCAATGTCAGCCTACTCTCCTTTCCATGTCACCTGTTAGCGGGGGCTCTTGTGTGTGCAAACTCACTGGTTGGGAATATGGACATGAAGATATTCAGCCGAAGGGATCTTTAAAGCAATGCTTCCACCGTCATCAGAGCCTCCCTTCTGCTTTGTGTGCTTCTCATAATCTAGCTCCAGCTTCTCACCTGGAGGGAAATCAAGTTCAAGTTGATAGTCTCAAATCATTGATATAATTCCACATTTTTTGAAGTGTATTCTCCTAACTGGTATGTTTGGCAGAGTGCAATGACATTCCCCAAACACACATCTCTGTTGTCTTTTTATGATGCTATGATAATTATAATTTATTTCCTTCTGTTCTGTAAGCTTCATAAAAATTTCTGTTTCAGAACTGTCTGAAAGCATTTTTGTTTAAAACTAATTTTAAAAGTAGCACCTAGCAACTGGGCATGGTGGCACACACCTGTGATTTCAGCAACTGGGGAGGCTGAGGCAGGAGGATTAAAAATTTGAGGCCAGCCTTAGCAACTTAGGGACACCCTGTCTCAAAAACAAAAAAATAGAAAGGGATGAGATGTGATTCAGTGATGAAGTGCCCCTGGGTTCAATCTCTGGTACCAAAAGGGGGCAAAAAAGTAGCACCCAGCTAATTTTCAAATATATGTCAATTATAAACCATGAGTCCATTGTGAGGCTTGTGCTTATTATAAGAGGGAGTTGACAAGAAATCTTACTAATATTGTTTTCTTTTTGTAGGAAAATCGGTTTCAGGGTGCTGTACGGCTTTGTTGTTGCTGCTGTTTGTTAAACCTTTTCCTCTCTGCCCATCCTGCTTAGCTTGGAGCTGAACTGGGAGCCCAGGCAATCAGCCACCTGGAAGAAGTGAGTGATGCAGGCATTGCTGCCATGGCAACGGCCAGGTGTGCTGCGGTCCTTCTGCCCACCACGGCGTACATGCTGAGGTGAGAAGACCGGTGCTCACCCCGACACGCAGGCCAGCTGTGGGGACATAGATTTCTAAGGAGCCTAAATTTTATGCCATGGCCCCTACAAATCCTGAGAAATGCAAATGATGGAAACTAGCTCAGAAAGATGCCAATTCTGGATAAATGTTCTTAAATTAATTACCCTCCGGAAGGAGCTTAGCCCAGGTTGCCTTTGAATGGTGAGATTATTGAGGAAGGTGATGCTTTCTTTTTCCTTTCTTCCCCCTGGGTTTCAGAAATTTCCAATTTAAAATATCAGTATGCATTACTTTTATCATCAGAAAATAATGAAACAGCAGTGCTGGAGCTCAATGGTAGAGCACTTGCCTAGTATGTGTAAGGCCCTGGGATTATGCCTATAATCCCAGTGGCTCGGGAGGCAGATGCAGGAGAACTGCAAGTTAACAGCCAACCTCAGCAATTTAGCGAGGCCCTAAGCAATTTAGCAAGACCCTGCCTCAAAATTAAAAAAAAAAAAAAGGGCTGGGGATGCAGCTTAATGTTTAAGCACCCCCTGGGTTCAATCCCTGGTACCAAAAAAGAAAATAATGAAACAGGTTCTATAATTTTAAGAACAGACATAAGATCTTAGGATATTTATTCAACAAGACCCAGAATCTGAATGAGACGTTTTCTCAATGGAAGCTGATAGTCCCATGATTGAGTACCAGAATCCTCAGGACCCTTGGGAGTGGGAGGATGAGGACACATGTGAATTAAACTTTGTAAAAACTTCCCAGAGATTTTGCTGTGGGCCCTCTATGAACTGAGTACGCCTTGCCCACTGCTCTAGTTCTGCTGAACATGAGATCTGAGGTCCTTTGACCCTTTCCATGGTACCTCTTCCGGGATAGCTCTCAAGTCAGTGGTTTGGGAAGCCAGCATTCAAGAGTCAGTGTATTAGCTGGATGTGGCGGCACACACCTATAATCCCAGAGGCTCGGGAGGCTGAGGCAGGAGGAGTGAGAGTTCAAAGCCAGTCTCAGCAAAAGCAAGGTGCTAAGCAACTCAGTGAGAGAGTTGCGCCTAGCCTGAGCTCCTTCTTGATTCTCTCTCTCTCTTTTTAATGTATATGTTTTTAGTTGTAGGAGGGAACAATACCTTTATTTTATTTTTATGTGGTGCTGAAGATCGAACCCAGTGCCTCACACATGCCAGGTGAATGCTCTACCACTGAACCACAGCCCAGCCCTTAATTCTCATTTTGACAACAGCCATTACCTAGTGCCACCGAACAGCTTCCTTTCACTGTGTATTTTGCGAATATTTGCATACAATATTTATTCAGGAAACACCTTCATTCTTAACGGAGCTCCTTTAATACTTTAAGAGGCTCACTCCCCTCCCCCTAGTAGTTCTAGGAGGGAAAAGACCACCGGAATGACCTCCAGGGAAGTTCAAAGCTCCAGTCATCCCCCTGATCTGCAATTTTGCCTTCTGAGATTTGCTTACCCCTGGTCCACTGTGTTCTGAAAATATTCAATGAAAAAAATCCCAGAGAGAGCCAAGTTTTAGTTTTAAATAATGTTTATCACAGAATTCTGTTATGATTGTTCTAGTTAGTTATTGTTGTTCATCTCTTACTGCACCTAATTTATGAATTCACCTTTGTCATAGGCAGGTATATATAGGAAATGCACAGTATATATTGGGATTTGGTACTATCTGAGATCCCAGGCATCCACTCGGGTTCTCAGACTGGATCAGAGAGAGGCTGACTACCTTTCCTTGTACCCACCTCTGCTTCACTGACATGTTGTTGTTGGGGAACATTTTTATTGATCCTACAAATTATCAGCCCAGACTGGAAATACTTCAAGGACAGGAGTCGTCTCTGCACTTCTCATAATTTATTAATGTACACACCAACCTGTGTGCCGAGGCCTGCTGGCTGCCAGGCGCTGTTCTAGGCACTAGGGATGCAACAATAAATGCCAAAGTCCTCGTCCTGAAGGACGTTGCCTTCTAATGGGAGGAGACAAAGTACTGAGGACAAATGAAAATATAAAACCTTGGGCGATGTCAAGTGCTATGAAAAAGTCAAAGTCAGGTAGATGAATAGGGAGTGCTGGTGGGGAGGGGGCTGTGATGTGAGGTTGGGCTGTGATGTTCTTAAGTAGGTCAGGAAAAGGCTTTTTTTTTTTTTTTTTTTTTTTTTAAATACTAGGGATTGAACTCAGGGGCACTCGACCATAGAGCCACATCTCCAGCCCTAGTTTTTGTATTTTACTTAGAGACAGGGTCTCACTGAGTTGTTTAGCGCCTTGCCATTGCTGAGGCTGGCTTTAAACTTGAGATCCTCCTGCCTCAGCCTCCCGAGCTGCTGGGATTATAGGCATGCGTCACTGCGCCTAGGAGGAAAAGACTTCTGGATGAGGAATGTTCCAGCACAGATCTAGAAGTGATGGAGTGAGCCGTGTCTGGAGGGGCAGGATTGTTTAGGAGGGTGTTCTGGACCCCAACCGATGGCCAGTGAAAGGTGGAAGAGCACTGAATGTTCTGGGAGCAAGAGTGAGGCTGAGAGGCCCGAGCAAGGAGAAGGCAGTAGCTGAGGGCAGAAGGAAGGGCAGACTTGATCGGCTTTGAGTCCTGGGGAGCCTGTAAGTCCATGGGAGGCCACTGGAGCATTTTTCAAAAACTCAGTGACATGACCTGAATTATTTTTCCAAAAGCTTTCTCTTTCCGCTCTAAGGAGAATAGATAGTAGGGTTTTCCTGGAAGCAGGAAAACCTGTTGGGATGGTCTTACAAATATCCTGGCAAGAGGGGAAGGTGACTTGGATCCATGCTGGTAGCGGGGGGGTCTGCATATTATTTGGAATCTGGATATATTTTTAAGGCAGAGCCAGCAAGATTTTTCTGATGAATTGCCCCGTGAGAAAAAAAATTTAAAAATAGGACTCAAGGATGACTAAGGTGCCACCCAGCACACGCTAACTGGATGCTTTCTGAATGTCCGTCTGCATCTATGACCCACCATGTTTCACTGGGCACCGTACATGAGATGGTACTCTTTCCATTGAAATTGCCAAGAAGTGCCTATATTGGGGGGAAGGAGACAAAAGATTAATGCAACAAAAACACAATAATGAAAAATTACTGAATGCCTCCAGCAAGTCTATCAAGCAGCTGTTTGTGCCAGACACCGTACCGGTGCTGGGGGTGCATTGATGAATAAACGGATAGATGGCCTGGGCCTTTAGGAACTTGAGTCTAATGCGCAAATTCTGGTAAATGCAAGCAGACCTGGGAGAGTTCTATTGTTTTTGGATGGAGTAAGGGGTGTCGGGGAGAATGAGCAGCGAAGGGTGAGACGTGGACTGGCTTTAGATGATTGCATCTTAGGCATTTCAGACGAGGAGAATGGCAAACTCAGAAATGTCCAAAAAGGGAACTCTGGTTGGAATGCAGCATTAAGTAGGGTAGTGATGAGAAATGAGTCCCAACCAATAAATGATGTAAGGCCAGAGATAGAGTAGGTTTGGGGGGAGGGCCCAGGGTCACCCTCGATAGCTGTATGTAACAATCAGTAAGCTGTACTGTTCCATCCAAGGCTGAGGATCAGTCCAGGCATTATCATGAAGCAACAGCAAGCAGTCTAGTCCTGTAAGTCTAGTCCTTCCATGGCACCCCACAACTGAGGTGTGTGGGGTGCCATGGAAGGCCAGAGAAGGTGGTAGCCAAAAGGGATGGTTGGGAAGCCTTCCCAGAGGGGGTAGCCTAGGCCTCCACCACGGGCTACAAAGACTGCTGACTCAGCACAAATGATCTACTCACCCATGCCCCTCCAAGAGACTGCAACGAACCCCAGCAGAGTTTCTAAACAGCTGCACCCCTAGGAGGACCCTGTCCCTCCCTTCCTTGCAGTGCCTGCCTGTGAAAGCTCAAGGGTGCAAGGAGAAAGTACTCTTTGTTCCAGCCCAAAATCTGTTGATAGGCAGATAGCCCACCCCCCCTCCAGACCTTCTTATAGCAGTTACTTTTATTTTTTTTTCTTTTTTTTTTATTGTTGGTCGTTCAAAACATTACATCTTTCTTGATATATCATATTTCACAGCAGTTACTTTTAAAAGCTTGTGATTTTAAGTTCTTTCTCTGCCTCTTTGAGATGTAAATCTTCTGCAACCCAGAACTGTCTTCTCTAAGGACCTGAGAGCCCTCTCTTTGACAGGCAATCCTTCAAGCAGAAAACTTTCACTGTGCTCCCAGGGCTGAGCCTCTTGCTCTAACTTAGGCCCCTGCCTCCCGCCTAAAGGTACAAGTTTGAATCCCCTCCAGATAATCACCAATTAAGGAACCCAGAGCTCACAGACCAACCCCAAGCCCGTAGTGTTTTGCAAATTACCACTTCCCAGACAGTTTGAGGAACTGCTGCTTTTTCATTTCTGCTCCCTCAATCTCTCTCTAAAACACCCGGTTACTTCTTCACAAGTGGAAGTTGGTTCCATGACTATTGTACTCTTCCTTATTGCAATAGTTATTATTGAATCCGGTCTCATCACTTTAACTAGTATCTGGTCTGTTTATTTATTATTTTTTTAAGAGAGTGAGAGAGGAGAGAGAGAGAGAGAATTTTTAATATTTATTTTTTAGTTGGCGGACACAACATCTTTGTTTATATGTGGTGCTGAGGATCGAACCCGGGCCGCACACATGCCAGGCGAGCGCGCCACCGCTTGAGCCACATCCCCAGCCCCCTGGTCTGTTTATTTTTGACATAAGTTTTGAGTTAGACCCTGAAGAAGGTAGACTCTTGCCAAGGAGATCTAGGAGATGCCTAATCCAAAAAGAAACACAAACATTTCACACATTAAATTTTTTAAATAGATCCTACCCAAAAAACTTTTAAATAGGTCCTACCAAAAAAAAATATATATATAGATAGATAGATATAGATATAGTTAGATAGATAGATAGATAGATAGAGATAGATAGGAAGGGAAAATGGAAATTAATAAAAAGTAGCATTATGCTAACTTCATTAGTTGTTTAATTTGAAAGTAGCAAAAAGTTTATCAGATTTTATTAGAAAATTTTTATTTGTTTATTGAAAATCATTTGTTTTGTAAATGATATTTTCTCCCTTAGCAACAATCACTGAAGATGCATGCAAAGATTGACAAAATAAATGACCAAATGACCACAAATTAAACAATAGCCGAGTAATTCCAAAAGCAGAACGAGAAAACCAAGAGTCCTAGAGTGCTGCTTCACTCCACCACTGATCATGTAACTTGGAACTTCTGTTTCTTCTTCCAGACCACAGTAGGGTTGACGGTCTCAAGTTCTCTTCCATTCTAAACATCTGTTTTGTAAAAGTTCCAACTCTGGAGACTGACCTCCTTTTCTTGTTCCCCTTAGACTGAAGCAGCCTCGAGCCAGGAAGATGTTAGATGAAGGGGTGATAGTTGCCCTGGGCAGTGATTTCAACCCAAATGCATATTGTTTTTCAATGGTAATTATTTTTTCATGTGTTTTTCTGAGCACAGTCTCTACCAAGCATATAAATAATTCAAAAATATTTCACCATCTGTTAAAATGTATAAAAGTTATGAAAATATTTCCCTGTAAAACAAGAAAGTGTAGACAGTAGAATAATTGGATTTCCCTGCACCACATGAGTGCCTCCAGGCCTGAAGAGAAGAGAGAAACTTCTATTTGCATTATTTTCTGATTCAGCCTTGAGCATTATGGTTTTACATTAACCAATTTTCCTTCTCTGGAGCAGAGCAGAAACTCAAAATGGTTTTAATTATTAAGTATGAATGGAAAATTCATCTTCTACAGAGGGTCTTGAATAGTTGTAAATGAATATTAAAAACACAATTCTTTTTTTTTTTTTTTGTATTGGGGATTGAACTCAGGGACACTTGACCACTGAGCCATATCCCCAGACCTATTTTGTATTTTATTTAGAGACAGGGTCTCGCTGAGTTGCTTAGCACCTCACTTTTGCTGAGGCTGACTTTGAACCTGCGATCCTCCTGCTTCAGCCTCCAGAGCGGCTGGGATTACAGGGGTGCGCCACTGTACCCAGCTAAATGATTCTTAATAATAAAGAATATTTTCCTAAAGCATAATAACCTTTATGTGTACATTTAGATTTTCCCATAGTAATCCAGCAAGTCCCACCTATATATTTCTTGTAAGGTGCAAGGTTGTGGGTGCGGGATCAAGCCCAGGGCCTTTATTTGCTGAGCACAAACCCTGCCACTGAGCCACATCCTCAGCCTGGACAGTAATCTACATTTACTTGTTGTGCTGTGTGTCCTGAGAACACTATCTTGTCACTTTCCTTCAATACTTTCTTGTCCTGCCTTAGCCAATGGTCATGCATCTGGCCTGTGTGAACATGAGGATGTCCATGTCGGAGGCCTTGGCTGCTGCCACCATCAACGCGGCTTATGCACTGGGAAAATCTCACACACATGGATCTTTGGAAGTTGGCAAACAGGGAGACCTCATTATCATCAATTCATCCCGGTGAGTGTTCTCAACTGGGCTATTTTATTTTATGCCCACTGCAGATGCAGATGAGGTTTGAATTCTGTTTGTAGTAGTTATTAGTATCAGGCTCTGTCTAGACTCAGACACAACCCTCTCCTCCCTCTCTTCACCTGTTTCCAACCAGAACATCTGCCTCCCTGGGCCAAGCCTCAGTGGAGACCGAGTTTTCCGGTCTCGTCATCTGTCTCGTATGTTTCATGGATTTCCAGGTCTTGCTCTGTTTACTTGGACTGTGGACCTGGAGTGTCCTCTGGCCTGTGTTTTTGTTTTTCTGCTTGGTTCCTGACCTTCTGCTTGCTCCCAGCTCCAGCTTGTCATCCTGGTTCTGACTTTTGAGATCTATTTCATTCCCAAATCTCCCATGCATCTGCTACTGCTTGGGCCTCTGCTGTGACAATTTGGGTCTTATTGTTCTAAATCCAAAATATTGTACATGTGCTTGACCTTCATGTGCTGATCACAGCCCTTGGACCCCGTATTCAACAGAGGAGAACGGCTGTACAGTTCTACCCTTTATGGTAGGAATTCACTCCTTCCATTAAAAATAATGAGTGGTAATTCATGTTACCATTTGTGCATCATGTAAGGAAGAAAATATTATAAGGTCACGTTCTTAAATGACATTATTAAACAATACTTTATTTATTATAGACTAGTTAGATATTTACCACTTTTTTAAAAAGCTCAAAATACCAATGGACTTGGTGTAAATCAAGTTTTTAAATGCATTTGCAGATCATGTACAGTGATGATTTTGACTTGTATCCATTGGGAAAAAAAAATGTTTGATTTCTTTATAGATGGGAGCATTTGATTTACCAGTTTGGAGGCCATCATGAATTAATTGAATATGTTATAACTAAAGGAAAAGTCATCTACAAAAAATGATAATCTGGAAGGAAAGAGAAGACACTTCCACTGTGTCAAATCAGTCAATTCATCTGTAAGAGATAGTACCTTAGTGGTTGACCAGAATCATGTCATTTAAACCTAAATATACTTCATTGTATTATTAATTCACTTGAAAAGCCCAAGGAATTGATTTGAATCAAGGGACATGTAAAAAGGTAAACCTATGGTGCTAATAATCTGAAATCATTAAATGGTCTCACATTGGTTTTAAAATTCTGAAGATTGGGGCAGGGGTTGTGGCTGAGTGGTAGTGCACTTGTCTGTCATGTGAGAGGCACTGGATTCGATCCTCCGCACCACATATAAATAAATAAATAAATAAATAAATAAATAAATAAATAAATAAATAAATAAATAAAAGGTATTGTGTCCATCTACAACTAAAAAGTATTTTTAAAAATATTCTAAAGATTAATATAGTGGGGGAATCACAAAAATACCTTTGAGGGAAAAGCAGACTTGGCTTGAAATGTCCATTTTATTTCTGAATCTCAAATTTCAGTTTTGTTTTTTTTTTTAAATTTTTATTTGTTTTAATTAGTTATACGTGACAGTAGAGTGCATTTATGCACTTTGATATATCATACATAGATGGGATATAATTTCTCATCTTTCTGAGTGTACATGTTGTAGAATCATATTGGTCATGCAGTTTTATATATATATATAAAGTAATAATGTCTGTTTTATTCTACTATCTTTCCTATCCCCACATCCCCTCCCCACCCGTCCCTTCACTTCCCTCTACCTAATCTAAGGTAAAGCTATTCTTATCTAGTGCCCCCAGCCTTATTGTGAATTAGCATTCCCATATTAGAGAAAATGTTCAGCCTTTGGTTTTTTGGGATTGGCTTATTTCACTTACCATGATATTCTCCAACTCCATCCATTTACTAGCAAATGCCATAATTTCATTCTTCTTTAAAGCTGAGGATTATTCCATTGAATATATATGCCACATTTTCTTTATCCATTTATCTATTGAAGGACACCTAGATTGGTTCCATAGTTTAGCTATCATGAATTGAGCTGCTATAAACATTGACGTGGCCGCATTCATATTATATTTGGTGAACATTGTGGGATGGAAGCAAATCCAAGTGATATGCCCCAAATTGAGCTAAAAATATAGCCTTTTCTAACAAGCAAACAGTATTTTCTCTCTTTACACAGTTTGTCTTTCTAGATGCTCTTCAGATGAACTAGTGTCCCCAGGGGAAAGATGTCCTTCCATTAATACTGTGTTTTCAACCCTAGCCATGAAGTGTCATGGTGGAGTTCAAGATTCCTCCGTTTACATAGGGATACAGGAGTCTTTTGCATTTTGATCAACCCCAATAATGTAGTTTTTTAAAATTGTTAAGTCTTTGATTCTCACTAGTCCCTAAAAAGATTTTACAACTCTCAATAAATATTTGCTGTTGTTATTACTATTGTTCCTTACAGCCCTGGGAGTAGATCACTGTATTATCCATCCGAGTTTTGTTTTAACAAAGTTGAACAAACCAATTGCAAAATCATTTGCAGAATGAATGATTATTTATATAAATGGGTATTTTTAAGCCATGTGAGTTTACTGAAATCTTTTTAAAATGTTTACATTAGCTTTATAACCACAGCTGCATTGTCAAATTTTGTCCTATTTATAAAAAGTAATTTGTCAAGTAAACATTAAATACCAAATTATCACCAAATTTAGGTTAACAGAGTCTGAATTAGAGAGACTTTACCATATTTGGTATAAACCAAATCAAAATGCCCATATTAGATTTTGTTACTAAAATGAAATACCTGAGGTATGCTACTTATGAAGAAAATAGGCTTAGTTAGTTCAGAATTTTGATTGCTGAAAAGTTCTGAGTGTGGCATGGGTTCTGGCCGGGGTCCCCTTTGGCTGTGTCAATTCATGGCAGGTTGCAGAGGTGGGAGTTTGTGTGAGAGGAAGCAATCGCATCTGGATACATGGAGCCAGAGAGGGATTGTGTGAGGCCAAGCTTAGGCTTTTGTAATAATGGCATTGCAAGAACTTGCCAGAGTCCCAGGAGAAAGGCCTTATTTCTTTCAAGGACACTCCACTAGATGACCTAAAGACCTCCCATTATGCTCCACCTTCCAGAGGTCCCACATCCCAACATTGCCACAGTGAGGACCTAGTGAGACATGCAAAGTGTAGGTTCTTTGTCTCAGGAACAATGGAGGGTGAGAGCAAAGTAACAATTTGTTTTTGAAACAGAAAGGAGCAGATCTCCCACAAGGGAGGGGTCCCTGGTGGGTTGCCACTGAATTGCTGCTGTCTAGGGATTTATATGGCATTGCCGGATGGGACCTTTTAGAGAAAGGAGTTTCTGCATCCAATTAGAGTGAAACTGTCAGCAATCATGTGCTCCCTGTCCAATCAGGACGTTGGTCAAGAGCAGTTCATGCGCTTGGTCACCTGCTGTCTGGTTCATCAGATACTTTATACAGGAAGCTGGGCATAATGGGGTAAGAAGCCTGGAATAATTGCAATGCCGGTCCCCACCCTGTCCAGCATATCTTCTTTCTGGCTCCTGCTCTCACAAAATTCTAGCACACAGACCCTTCCAGGACAAACCATATCTAAACCACAGCAATGCCCCTGGTGGGAAGGTTAAGGGTAACATTGCATGTCATTGTCCCTGCCTCAGGGGCCTTTGGGCCTTTGGCCATCATGTGATTGGTGAAAGAATCTTGAAGATAGATACAAAAGCCAAAACTAAATGTTAGATCTGCCCCGGGACCCAAGTCACACAGGATAATACCCTTTCAGCTAAGGAATGAGAACACCTGCTAGGAGGTGTTCACTCTAAACAAAAAGAGAATTCGTAGCTTTTTCAAGTGAAAGCAGAAGAGGGTGCCCACCTGAACCACCTCGGTCCTTCCAGGCTGTGTACTGGGAGCTTACTAGAAGTGCAGGACCTTGACCTCACCCCACACCTGCTGAATGAGAATCTGCCCCTTCACAAGCCTCCAGGTGATTCACGTGCCCATTAAAGTCCCAGACGCACTGGGCTCTAGGCCCCAGTCGGTCCCACAGGTCTTCGCACTTCCTCAAACACATCTTTTGAGTCAGCTGCTCTGGGTTTTGCAGGGCTGTTCCCTCTGCCTGGGATGCAGTGTCTCTCTGGATTTACAGAGGAGATATGTTCCAAGACCCCCAGTGGAGGCCTGAAACCACTGATGGTACCCAAACCCTATCCATAAGGCACTGGTTTTTTTTTTCCCCATACATTCATACCTGTGATAAAGTTTAATTTATAAATTAGGCAAGTGAAGAGAAAAACAATAAGAAAAGAAAAAATTTAAAAATAAGCTAATAAAAGTTACATGAGTGTGGTCTCTCTTTCTCTAAAATATCTCATTGTTCTGCCGAGCGTGGTGGCAGTAGCTCAAGAGGCTGAGGCAGGAGGATCATGAGTTCAAAGCCAACCTCAGTAAAAGTGGGGCACTAAGCTACTCAGCGAGCCCTGTCTCTAAATAAAATACAAAATAGGGCTGGGGATGTGGCTCAGTGGTCAAGTGGCCCTGAATTCCATCCTCGGTACCATCCCCACTACAAAAAAAAAAAAAAAAAAAAAAACAACCTTTCCACTTGAAGCACTTTACAGCTTCTCTTTGACACATCTGAACTGCCAGCATCACTACTCTTATACTTTGGGGCCAGGATTAAATAAAATTAAATAAAATAAGGGCCACTTGACTGAGCACAAGTGTTGTAATACCAGCTCAGCTGGACTGATGGCTGAGAAGCAAGCATGCTGGGCAGCGGGATGCTTTGGATGACCCAGGCGAGATGAAGTGAGATGGCTTGAAATGTCATCATGCTACTGAGAATGCAGCACAACTTAAAACCTGTGAATTATTTATTTCTGGAATTTTCTATTTAATAATTTCAGGCCACAGTGGACTGCAAGTAACTGACACCACAGAAAGCAAAACCGTGTAAGGGGAAATGACTGTACTTTGCCTCGCTAGGGGGGGGGATGCTGGAGCTGGCTGCCCCTCCCCCATGCTCCCACATCTCTCTAGCCTTGAAAGCCTTGTGGTTTAACTGTCTTTCCCTTTTGATAGTGAAGTAACAGAGCTGCGACCTTGTCAGGCCCCCATAATCCAATGTAGTGACAGATGATCAGTGAATGGATTAATGAATGACTGCAGAAGCCTAGATAGTGACAGTGAAAATTATTGATCAAGATACACTGTTAAGCCAGGCACAGAGGCACCCAGTGACTTGGGAGACTGAGTCAGGAGGATTGCAAGTTTGAAGCCAGCCTCAGCAACTTAGTGAGGGCCCAAGAAACTTAATGAGACCCTGTCCCAGATAAAAATAAAAAGGGCTGGGTATGTGGCTCACTGTAGTATGACCCTAGATTCAATCTTCAGTACCAAAACAAAAAATCAAAATGCTGCTAAGCTTGCCCACCCAGGATGTAGTGCAAATGCTTACTTGTGAATGGGACAGAGCATATGAATTCCTTAATAAAATGTCAAAGGATGATGCTCATGAGAAAGTAAAGTGTAAAAGTAAAAGCAAAGAGAGAAACAATTAAATGGGGTGGGGAAGGGCAGCTTTGCTTGGCTTGGAAGTTTGGGAATCCTTTTGATGAGACAGAAGGGCTCCACAATGGTGTGGAAAGTCATGAAGTGTTCTGAGGATTCAAGAGACCAGTTGAAACTTCATTCTAAAGGCCAGGGGAAGTCACTGAAAGATTTTGCACAGGGGAGAACAAGGACGAGAGTCTTGTAAAAAATATACGTGACTGTATGACCAATGTGATTCTGCAACCTGTACTCTCAGAAAAATGAGAAATTATACCCATTTAATTCAAATGTATGATATGTCAAGATCCTTGTACTATTATGTGTAACTAATTAAAAAAAATTAATCTGGCTTTGGTGCACATAGTAGGCCCTCAAATATTTGTTGTATGAATGGATTCAGATTCTTTGGTGGAGAGAGTAGAAGGTATCAGATACCAGAAGTTCAGGTGGAAGGATCAGCAAGATATGATAATCCCTAGCGTGTGCTTCATTGAGCTAAAAACAGCAGCTCTTTCAAACCTTTTAAAATTATCATAAAATTTAAATTTCCCTTTAAGAAAGAAAATTTTGTTAGGTAGGGTAAAACTTGAAAGATCACAATTCACTATAATATGAATTTTTTTTTTTTTTTTTTGCCAAGAACCAATTGTCACTCGTTTGGGGTCCATATCAGTCCTAGTGAGATAAGGATGCACACGTTAGATGCTGTGAGGAACAGGCAAGCTAAATGA